GTCATTTTATATATATATATATACATATATATATATGTATATATATATATGCATGTATATATGTATGTATGTATGTATGTATGACACACACTATCATATAGGTTCCAGAACCCCTAGTGTGCTCCTCTCTCCCCTACTGGACATCACAGATTCTAAGCAAACTAGTAATAATTGGAAGTAAGTAGTGTTTCCTGTGTGTCAAATTAGTTGCTTTGGTAGTAACTACTTAGGACTTGATATTGGGTGAAATTATCTAGACTTTTTTGTTGTTGTTGTTATGCATGAAATATGCTGAGCAGTTTAGCACTTGGCTTACCACTGGAATGTGTGTATGTATGTATTTGCTATTAAATTGACGGTGAAGAAAAAAGATATTATGGAATTAATTTATTCTATCATGGAATCAGATATTTGTGTTCCTTTCTGTAAATCTATAAAATATATGTATATATTTTTCATAATTCACCATTATAAATCATACTGTCATGAATATTTAACAACAATGACTCCCAATCATTTTGAACTTCAGTTTTGTCATTTGGGGAAATGAAAGCTTAAGTTGTAGGTTAACTTGTCACAAGGGATGTCTGTGAGTGTTTGATGAACCCTAAATGGATCAAGTGCAGAAGTTCAAAGTTAAAAGTGCTGTATTTCAGAAAGAACATTATCCCGCTCTCAAGGAATATTTCAAAATATTGATTTACAAAGTAACCTCTTATAGTGAAGATTCTCCTGAAGAGTTACAAAGTTGCTTTTATCATTATCTTGATGGGCAACTCTCAGAGAGCCCAGGTTTGCATGGATAGACCTGAACAGCATCTTTATAATGTATTAGGTTCATTAAAAAATTATGCCTCACTTAGAGAGCACCAATTTGCCAGGCACTGTGTTAGGCACTTTATATACATCATCGCTAATATAATGAGCTTCAACTGGAAACCATTGTTTAGAGTCCTTATTTATCTGTGTAAATTATTAAAGCAAGCATTTTCAAATTTACATTTTAAGATGATTTTCAAATACGGAAACATTTGAAGTAAATATATCTTATTTTCTCAATAAGTCTATATTAGCATATACTCTCTTATCAAGTAGGTTACTCCAAATTCACAGATTTGTGAATATACAACTGTTTCATGAATAGATCAAAGGAACATTTAATATGTTTGATCTGTAGTTCAATTTTAAGTTCTAGGTAGGTACAAACTAACAAACGGAAATAACCATCAAAAAGAGCAGAAGTTTTATAAGCATTCATGATTACTTTACCTTTTTATTTTATTATTTTTATTCTAGGATACCTCATTCAGTATCTAATAACTGATCTATACTCAATTATGTTGTATAATTTATTGATGTTAATGACATACAAGAAATTTGGCAGAGAGATATTAACTTCTGTGAGTCAGAATAATTTATTAAAATTGAATTTGTTAAAACTGTGTAAATTAAAATTGTATGGGCTATGAAATCTGCAGTACTGCATATAAACAGAAGTTCATTTGCAAAGGGCATATGAATTTATACCCTTTTGAGTTACCACACCATCGGGCATTCAAAATGATTTTAAATTAAATGAAAAATATCAGCATTTCCAGAAGCATGACATTCTAATGGGTAAAATGACACACTTGGTGAATGAAACAACCTTCTTTAACCTATAGACATGAATATAAATCCATTGTTTATTTGGTGTTTATTATTTGGTGTTTATTAAAAGTCAAAATGCTAGTCACAGAAAAATTTGAGAACTTAATTCTGTGCCACTATATCATTGTTATAGGTCAGAGTCAAGTACCTATTTTTTAGTATTTATAAAATTTTAAGGTAACTTTGGATTATAACATTATAAAAGATTCAACATTATAATTAGATGTCTGTAAACTTCCTTTTAATGTATTTATTTATGCATACAAGAACTGGGGTACAGGCCAGAGGTCAGGGTGGGGGGCGTGAGAATATTCACCAAAGAAAGATTGAGGAGCAGAACAAGTAGATCAACTGAAATACACTGCTGAGGGGAGCAGAAGGCCAGACCAGAGAGGTCTGTTGTGCCATGTGCGTCACCTCCCTGGCTGGGAATCAAACTCCTGCTGCAGTGGCTGCTGATAGCTTCATAATGTTAACCTATTACGACACCAGGGAGGCACAGTCTGTAAACTCTTTATTGTGATCACCACCAAAAATCTAGTTGTAGGTGTCTATTTTGGAACACAACCATTAAACATTTCACTTAGATTCACAAATTGTTATATCCTGGTATCATTGGTCATTTTTCTGGACTTAGATATTTTGCTGAGGTTGTCTCCCATGAAGACTGGGAGTTGTGTGGTGGGCAAGGGAGGAGTTAAGCTTTATGTAGTCTCCATGAGACTTCAGTCTTACTTTAGATTCTGAGGACCTTTAGAGCTGAGATAGAGCAGGAGTTTATCCTGTCTGGACACAAGGAGCTGGAGCCATTAAACTATTGCAAATAGTTCTTGCCTCTCAACTCCTGAAGGAGTTTGACTTAAGGAAGGGAAGTTTGTGGCAATTGTGAAGAAAATCTTGGGTGCACCCCAGCAGCTGAGGGAATGAGTGCCTCAAACCTCAAAGGGACTGTAGAAATCACACCACAGGTTCCTACTGTAGAGTTTGTCAAACAAGTGACCAGAAAACACTTAGCACATGGTCTCTACTTCCCAGTGATTTTTGAGGTTTCACTATTCAAACAATTAGGAGAAATGAAATAAAAATATTTTCCCTAGCTTCCCGAAATTTCATGACTCATTTTTTTTTAATCTGTTATGAAGAAAAATTTAATTGTAATTTGGAGAAAGGATCTTGAACTGTATGTCACTAAAATACATGTTTTAGAGGAAAAGAGGGAGGGATTTACTTAGCAATCTGATCAATTTGTATGTATTCTTTGTGCCTCTCATGAGCTAGACAAAAATAAAATAAAATTAAAAAGAGCTTGAACTTTTCCCTTAACCTTTTTGGATGCTGCGAACCAGAAGGAGACTTATAAATAAAGTAATTACATAACCTGGTCCTGCTAAATTCCATTCTTGTAATTTTTTCGTATGACTGTTTCTATGGTATCAATATAAACAGTTAAAGAGTTTACTGACTGACTTCTTACTCTCCTTGGTATATAATAGCCTTAATCTAATATCTGAGATTTTTGAATCAAACAAAGTAATGACTAGTGAGGAGTACCTTTTCCAGAGTAGGCCATGGGCATAGATAAAAATTATTTTCAGTCACTTATTAAAGCCCACTATTAATTGTGGACATGTTAAACCACTGCATTGCAGGGAAAAAAATGTATTTTGCTGAATTTTCTTAAGAGTCACCAACTGAAAATTTTAATTTTTTGAGTTTTTAGCAGTATTAAACTCATTATCAGATCTGTCACCCATATTTAATGGATGTTCAGTTTCAGCAAGTTTATCCTTACACACTCAGTATACTGTCAGGTAGACAATGAGTCTCTGTTGTGTTTTAGTGAATGTGGAGTTGATTGCTTCTGCTTTTATCTTTATTTTAACATCTGTCCTGTTTTGTAACTTTGTACTAATTTTTTATTTTAGTTGTTTTGTGGATTCAAACTTGTTGTAGTTGGTTTTGTTGTTGTTGAGGAACATTTCAAGAGTGAAGTAAAGATTGTGGGAAAATACCATTTTCATTAATTTGACTCCAGCTGATTTTATACCTGGAAGCAGGCGTGCTAATGGTCTTGTGTGTGGTTAATTAAATCCCATATTGTCAGCGTTGGTTATAGATATTAGGTCAACCATGTTGTTAACGATCCTGTGAGCTAGTAAATTGTGAATTTACTACTGGGGAGTCATTTCTAGAATGTTCACCTTGTGTTCAGGTATCTGATGGTGGGCACAATGGTCTGGTCACTTGGCCGGACTGTTGATTATAAGATTCCTAAGCTGACTCATATAGAGTCTTGCTCTATTATGTTTTAAAAACAACACAGCAGGCAAGTCAGGGGCACAGACACAACCTGTCTCTTCGAATCCTTTTCTGTGAAGAAGCAAGAAACAAATCCCACTACATTTTGTTTTTCTAATGCTTCTTGAATTCTCACCAACAGGTTTTTTTACAGTCTGTTGCTTGCTTCTCAGATTAGAAGAATGCTGGCATATTTTAACAGTTTCCTAGGATTCAAACTGCCTTTAATTAACAACAAGTAGATGTTTTGGAATGTTACCAAAATGTGGGCGATGGAATGCTGAGGTGGGCGTCTGTCCTTCCAAAGCAAACAACAGCTACCTACTGCTGGCATAGGGATCTTTGCTGGCTTACCGTTCCACTGTCTGCTCATTAGTGATTTCTAAAGTCCACTTCCTTGTGGCCTGGAAGAGGCGATTAGTTCTTCAGACCTCGGTGACACCACAGTGCCACATAGCTCAGAGCCTGTGCCTTTACCCACAGGGTTCACAGGTTAATCTTCCAGTTTCTGGCCAGTGAGGTGGGGCTGTCTGTGTTGGCTGCCTGTGTCTATGGTTCACTTTCGTTTTCACGCCAGATTCTTGTCATCATGTCTGCCAAAGTTTGGGGTATGGAGGAAAGGAGCAATTCTGTGATGTCATCATTGACTGGATGCATATTTTGAGAAGTTAAGTTTCCAAATAAGAGTGGAGGGACAGTGGGAGGGGGGGAATCCTTTCGAGTCAAAAGACTTTGGTTAGATGTTTGTGACTGACCCAGTCCAGACCCCTGGTGGTCTGGACTGGGTCTGGGGAGTATGGCGTGTTGACTGTTACTTACAGAGCCAGGTAGTCACAACTAGAGAAGCCAGGAGGAGAAGGGAGCCTTTCAGCTGGCTCCCTCCGCCTAATGACAGGCTTCTCTTTGGCCACCTTCCAGTTGAGATCAATATACCTCATGTCTTGTTTTTTTGCAGTGACCCACAAAAGCAGCCTGTGGGTCTCAGAAGCAACCTTGGTGGTGTTTCTGTGCACAGTGTGCCTGATCGCTCCCTTTTGCTCTCCTCTCTGCAGGTGGTACATGCCAGAGTCCTGCTCTCCCAGCCCTGGTCCGGCCACCAGCTCCTCCTCTGCAACCATCGCTGGATATCAAGCCCTTCCTTCCCTTTCCTCTTGACACTGCTGCAGCGGTCAACCTCTTCCCCAATTTTAATGCGGTAAGTCCCACAGCCTCATTTGCATAGGCCAAGGTGGCAGATGCTAGAAACCTTCCAGGCCAGGCTGGATTGGTCACCCACTGTTCGGCTGTCTTCTTTATTCATGGCTTGTCTCAAAAACACAACCAAGCTAGTTTGCCAGGTATGTGAGGCCCTGCAAACCTTCAAGGAAGCATGAAAAAGAGATTCAATTTGATTAAGCTGATTGCTGCACATCTCTCCTTTTGTGTCTTTCTGGGGAACACACGTCGTTTTGTTGTTTTGTTGGAATACATCTAAATGGAAATTTAATGAATCTGTTAAGGAGAGCATTAGAATTCATGTAGATACAGAAAAATGTGTATTTCTTCTATCTGGGCCCTAGACATGAATTTTCCAAACCGTGACTTCTTTTCTGATTGAATAAAATGGACCCTGATAATCACAAAAATGGTATGTTCCATGTATAGAACATGTTTCCTCTTTAACTTAAAACAGCTCTGGGTTCTGGTAGCAAGTTTTCTTTTTTTTTTTTTTTTTTCTGTTGTTGTTCTTTTGCTCTCCAGTCACAGTTTCTCACATTGTCTTACTTAAATAATTTTGATTTTTGAGACTTTGTCAACAGTCTTCTTTCTCAACTCAGTTCAATTACTTACTTGCCTCGATTTTCACTCGTCAGGGCGCTGTCACTCTTGGGCAGACTCCACCTCATTTTCTGGGTTTGTTTTGTATAACCAAAGAAAGTATGCTTAGGATGGGATTGAAAAGGTCAGAATCCAAGAAGGGCGCATTTTTTTCCCCTAATAACGTCTGGTTCAGCTTTCAGCAGCTGTTAAAATGTGGGTCTGAGCTTATCAATGACAAAGCATGTCAACACACCAAAGCAAAGAGGATTTTAATTGAAGGTTACTGCCTGCCCCATGATCTAAATAATAAAGACTTTTTTTTTTATTGCAACATCTTACCCCAATGATGAATTTAAACAAAAATATGTTACAGATAGATGCATCTGTCTTTAGGAAGCATAAGTGGGTCTTATTTTCTTTAAAAATATGTGGACGCAGGACTTTGGACATACCAATGACGGCATAATCTTGACTTAAGGGCAGTGGAGAAGCACAAGGATTGCTTTGCTTTTGGGAGTTGAGGCATTTGTCAAAGGAATCTTAATTTGAAATTGATGAAGCATAAATAGAGTAGCAGAACAATCACATTTCTACAGCAGAGGTTTCTAATTCTATGTTGTTTCAATAGAATCAGAAAAAAAATTGCTCAGTGTCAAATTCCCTGATTCTTCAATGACCACAATAAAGTCCTCTGGGTTCGCCTCCTCTGAGCTCCTTGTCTGCTCTTCTGCTAAGTGGCTTCTTGGCACCGTTTTGCTTTCCAAACACCAGGAGATGATCCATCGAGGTGCTTTACCTGGCCTCAGAGACCACTTGGCATCCTGTCACTCAGGTCTCGTGTCAGCTTGAGAATAGTGGAGGTAAAATTCCTGGAAGGTTGTAAAAGGCCAGACTTGAAACTTTTGATGTGCCCTTTGGGAAACATTAAAGGCAAAATGATTAATTTGATGGACAATGAGTACTGTTTGCTGTAAAACAAGATTAGTGATGCTCTGAGTTATAGGACACTGACAAATCTCTACTTTCTTTGCTACTATTTCTTCCTCTTTAAAATAAAGTGAGTACACCTGATCATCTCTTCTTTGGGCTTATGACATTAAAATTTTTGAGCATTTGTGTTGTGGTCAAACTAGACAATAGCTAGTCTGATTAGATTCAAATCTCAAAGCTGCTACTTACCAGTGATGTGATCTTAAATGTCACATAACCCCCATGTATTTCAATAGCTTCATCTGTAAATAGGACTCGTGACTTATGGACATGATAGGTTTGTGTTGATTATTTAGGTTAAGTTATTTAGAACAGGACTGAACATATAGCAAGCACCCTTGGAGTGATATTATGTTCATAGCAACTCTAATTCTCTAATTTTGGATATGAAGTTCATTGGCTGATTGCAAAAGCTTGACCTGGTTCTTCTTCCTCTGTGATGAATTTTGATTTCTGTTGGTATTTATTATATTTAAAGAGAGGCTCTCTTTTGGTGTAAGCACCTAGTGATTATTTTCTTCCAGTGCTAGTCAGGCTACGGCCAGCCAAGCTTGAAGCCACTCCTACTTTCTAAATAAGGAAAATGGTTGCAAAGCCCCAAATCAGGTGCTTCAGACTCAGAATTAGGGCACAGAGCAGCTCCCTGGGTAGCAACTTATGTTCTTGATTTTGTATCAGCTGTGAATCCCATTTCAGAAATTTGCAGTATTTGAAATACAATGCTTTATTGTTGTTAGTTTATTTTATTTCTTGTTCCAAAGTCTATTTCAATAGGCTATTGGGAAATGAAATTTAATTATTGCAGTATATATAAAATTCTGGAATCTAACAGGTTATCTATCCCACTCTTCAAGACTTTCTCTGCTTGTCACATTTTTTTTTATCCATGAGAATTCTTGAGCTGGTTAATTCCTAATTAGCATGGCCCTTCAGATCCTTGGCTCTCAATTTTGAGAAGCAAACTTTGCCGGGTTATTATTTAGCGCTTAAATGTGTCCTCACTTCTTATCTTATATTATTTATTTGCTGATAAAATGATGAACCACTTTGTGACACCATCTGACCCTTCTGAGTCCAAGTTAAGGGCAATCAAAAGTGGCCAGCCTGTGACATTCCTCCTCTGATAGTCCAGGTATAGAACAGGTATAGAATCCTTGTCTTTCTGGAATAGTTATGGCAGAATTGTAAAGAAAAAAATATATATATATAAAATATATAAATATATAAAATATATAAATATATATTTATATCCCTCAGGCTTTGGATTCCTCAGTTCTGTAATCATTCTCAAGGGTGAGCTTTCGAAATTTGGTTTTATCTGACCCCCTTTCTTTATAACTGCTCCCACCCACTATTTTCTTTCTCCTTCTGACTTATTTTGCTTAGCATAATCTCTTCCAGCTCCCATGTTGCTGTGAATGGCATGATTGTATCCTGACCACTGAACATCAAAGCCCACTTTTAATAAATGGCAATAAAAATTCTCATTATCAGTGATGCTGTGTTCCTGGATTTCCCAATAGTATTCAGACAAGAAGTGGCTTTTCCTTGATTTCTTCCTGTATCTTCTTCAGAGATGCCCCTCCATCTCTGAAGACATTAGAATTTTGATGATTAGTATTATCCTTTCTAGTGCATACTGAGTCTGCTGCATTTATTGAAAGAAATCAATCCTCGATGCAAATAGACAATATTTAGAAAAGAAATATAAGCAGAGATACCAGCTTGGTCCATTCAGCCAACCTTAGTGTATTAAGTATTTGCTATGTTGCATGCATGAATAGCTATCTGCCATAAAATAATTCTACTTTTAAAAGAAAGGTTAGAGGAAGTAAATATGGGTACTTTAGAGAAAAAAAGTATAGGATAGAATAACAACACAGGTCAGGAGTGGAAGTCTGTATGGTTGGTTGCCTGAGTGACACTTTGGTTAAAAAAATAGACACTTCCTGCATGCAACAGGAAGAGGCTTAGTAGAAGGATTTAGGTGCTTACAAAACCTTTGGAGGTTCTGGATAAATAAAGGTCATAGAAGGTTGTGACTATCTTTTGATTTCTCTGCTTACTTTCATGGAGTCATGAAGTTGCAGAAACACAAAACACCAAGTAATCCTAATTACTTTCATCCAAGTCCTATAAATCATGTCTATAGTTGACTCTAAACTTGAACACTGCTGGCAGATACTCATGGGAATTTAAACCTTTGGCCTTCAGTCCTTGTCATGGAAGGAGTAGAAGAGGGGCTGTGGTGCTGAATTTCCAGAAGACTCAATGTGATGATAAAATGGGAAAGTCTATATGGAAGTAGAAGAGTTAGACCATGTCTGCAATCAGAGGCAAGAGGTTAAGTCCATTGGAGATTTAGTATCCTGCTCTATAAAATAAGAATGTCTATGCCACGGTTATGTTTAATATCAGTGAGAAAGCTGAGATTTCAAATGCTAGAGGTTAAAATGGAATTAGTTGAGGTAAGACTTGCAGATGTTTAGAACAGGAGCTGATAATTAAAAACTCATCATTCTGCTTAAGAAAGTTATCACTGAGCTTCATGCAGAAGTTCTCTAAAATGATTTCTTCATATTTTGTTTAGTAGTTACAGCAAAGTTGAAACATCAAAGTGCATAATTTTTGGCTAGTGTGTTTATAGGTAACTGAGCTGGCTTCCATGCTCCTTACCATGTTGTGTTTCCTGTTGGCACAAAGATTACACGTGCAAACTGACCTGGACATACCAGATGCTCAGTAAATATTGAGTCCTTGGGAGATAAACAAAGAAGACTAAAGTGTCACACAGAGAGGGCTAAGAGGCAAGAGGGTGAACAAAATAAGAATGACTATTTTGCTTTCCATTTGCTTTGACTAATAGTTCTTCAACGTTAGAAAAGTAAATTGACATAGAAATTCTGGCACTATGCTGCTCCTGGAATAGCATGCTTTCATCATGAGTGAGGGAGCACAGGACTACAGAGGGAAGAAAGGAGAAAGAGACCCAGAGGAGACACCGCTCTGGATTATTTCTCCCAAATTCTCAAAAACACCAGCTAATGTTGAAAGTTGAATGTTAGATACATTTATCCTTAGCAAGTTTAAGAGTGTGTACAGGGCCCTCCCTGGTGGCACGGTGGGTTAGAGCACAGCACTAAGAAGCTAAAGCCACTGCAGCATGAGTTCGATCCCCGCCTGCCCCGGAGGAGATCCACATGGCTTGGCAGACCTCTCCTAGCCCACCTGCTGCTCCCCTCAGCAGTGTACTTCGTCACTCTGCCTGTTCTGCTCCCCACTCTGTCTTGGTGAAGCCTCTCACTGCCCCTGAGTCTCTGGCCTGTAGCCCAGTTCTGTATGTACAAATAAATAAATCTTTAAAAAAAGAGAGAGAAAAAAAAAGAGTGTGTCCAATGGGAGACA